AATTACAACTCTCTGATTCTTGATAGGAATGCAAATGAAAATTTCATCGTTGTCTGCAGGCTCTGAGAAAAATTCATAAAATGCTTGATGTTTAAAATAGTCTCTGCCCAATGCTAAGTGTTCACTATATTTTTTACTCCATTACAACTTTTGTTTTCAATGAAGTTTAGAGTATGGCTTTTGCTAATATAATCAGACTCCAGAAAGCCATCACAGCTTCAGCCAAAGTGTAAATGGAAACTCAGTGGAAATCTGGGATTCATCAGAGACAAGTTTTATAATGTTGCTTTATAGAAAGGCAAGATGGTTTTGTACACTTTGATATACACATCCACAAAGTAACATCTGGGGAAAATCTAGATAGTTGCTTATTTATGGCAAAATTTCTGAGTTGGAGTTATTCTAGATTTCATGGCTTTTGGAAATTAAAAACTATTGCCTTAGGTTAAGTTTTCTCTCTCTTTCATAGTTAATGATATGTAAAAGTAAAAAATAGTAAGGGTTTCTCATGAAACCAAAGTTAGTCAAATAGTAAACCCCTTTCCAGGTAAAGGCAGTAACTCCTTTCACCATACCTTAAGACCTAACAAATGTTATCACAATTTTCGTTCTTAAAAATTCTAAGAAGCAGTTCCAGGAATAGAATGTTAACTACAACACTGAACAATGGCCAAAAAAGGGAAATTGTATTGAGTTCTCATAGACCAGGACCTTATATGCCCATAAAGCAAATAAACTCAGATTTGCCTCTGACTAGCTGCCCTCTGTATTTTTTTCCTAAAGTCATTATCAAAGACCATAAAAGCTTTTGTGCTTTCAAACAATCAAAGGAAACCAAATTAGACTGGAATTTGGAAGGATGGGATAATAGTTTTGTGTGATCATATTTCTATCCAAGGAAGTGTATGTGTGTGTATTAAAGTTAAAATGCTTATTTCTCTGGTAGATAGAGGAAAAATAGCAAATTTTGTAGTCAGACAATCTGATTTGAGAACATAACTCTGCAGCAGTTATTATGATAACTTTGGATAGAGCATCTTCTTTATTTTTGGTAAACATTTTGGCCTTAGATACCTTCTCTACTATTCTTCCTAGTGAATCTACATAGACTTTGGTTTCCTGCTTAACTTTGTATAGCTATAGAAGAAACACTCTAGTGCCAGATTTCAGGTGGGAAGGACTAAGGGTTGTTTGTCTGTCTCTTTATATATTGTTTTTGTTTTGTTTTTATTTAGGCACTATGATTTACAGTGTTATTAACAAAAGAGTTTCATATATACAGTGTTTCTATTTGAATTCTACCACCAGTGTTAAGCATACCTCCACCAATGAACTCAGGTTCACTCTTACTGCATAATCTGTCTCCTTCACAATTTAACTTTAATTATTTAGTCCCATACTTACTGTAGTTATGGCTCTAATGGTTTAGATATATACAGATTCCTTGCCTCTACACCTTAGATGAGTTCAAGGTACCTGACCCTTGACCCTATATTATTTACCAAGTACCTCTTCTTGCTTCCCCCTTCTATTTATCTACCCTGTGAATTTTTGTGATGGTTTTTCAGATTTTCACTATTATTCTAATTATAATTTCCTCCTTTAATACCGTGAAAGGAAAATATAAAAGTATTTATTTTATGTTTACTGTTTGTTGTCTTCAAATTCCCTTTCAATTTCAGAAAAAGGAATTTGTGAACAAACAATAAATGAGTTAATATGTATAAAACACTTGGAAATGTGACACAAAGTCAACACTGCATAGGAGTTAATGATTATAAAATGTTCTGATCCAACAGCTTGAACTTGGCAAAAGTTTGTTTGACTGAAGTCATATTTTAGACAGTTTTTAAGGTCAGCAACTTATACCAACATGTATGCTTTCTCCTGGTATCACATCACTTCCCTTTTATAATTATTTGAATGATATTTAAAGGAATATGTAGTTTTTTACCCTGTGCCACCTGGTATTTTCGTGCCCTGTTCTTGTAAGAATACATGCACCCACAACATACTGTGAGTTTCCAATTCCTTTAGGGTTTGTTTCTTCTATCTTCAAATGGTATGTTATTAATTACTTTTTCAGAACATGCCTAGTGTAAATATTTTTGTACATGCTCAAGAATTTAATAGGGAATTGAATAGAACTGGTCCTTTGTTTTTCCTGATCTGTTTTAATGGTCTTTTACTCTCCATGACCCTGTAATGGCATTTCAGTCGGACAGGTTGTGCAGGTCTAGTTCATCCCATTTAGATTACCAGGGTTTTTATGGAGGTATTCTGAAACAGAGTTAAGAATTTGGAGTTTTTCAGCAATCGTAAGAGTGTTTGGGGAGGGTGCAGTAGAGTTGCATGGGCATTTTGCTCACCTGATTGTATGTAGAGACAATCTAACATCATGCAGGTACCTAAGGCTGTCTGCAAGTCAAAGGGTGAGCAGTGCTTGTCCACAATGTCTGGAGAGTGAGGGATGTGTCCGAAGGGCTTGTGGAGGCAGGAATGGCAGGATTCAAGTTTTCTAAGACACATTTGATTTGGATATGTACTAACTTAGCTCCCATGGGTCCCAAGGGCTGGCTACGGGATCACTCTTACCATTTTATTCAGCTTATTATTATAATCCTTACCAGAGAAATTTGACAAAAAGAAGAAGAAAATACTAGATGCAGACACCATAGTACAGTGGGTAGGGTACTTGTCTTGCACCCAGCTGACCCATATTTGATCCCTGGCATCCCATATGGTTATTGGAGGTCAACAAAGAGTAATTCCAATGTTCAGATCCATGAGTAATCCCTGAGCTTTTCTGTGCATTGCCCGAAAACCAAAAAAAAAAAAAAATTAAACTGGATACTTATGTTATTTCCGGTATTTTTTATAGTTTTTTTATTAGTGTAACACCATGAGGTACAGTTGTAGACTTACAAATTTTTGTGCTTGGATTTCAATTATACAATGATCAAGTACCCATCCCTCCACCAGTGCCCATTTTCCTCCACTACTGAGTCCAGTACGGTATTTTTAATTGGATGCAAGGCTTTGTGAATTTGACCTCACTTCACATTACCATTTTGGTTTTCAGATCACAAACAGAGGTGCTCAGAGTTTAGTCCTGGCTCTGTGATTTGGGATCACTCCTGACATGTCACAGGGGACCATGTGTGGTGCCTGGGATCAAACTCCATTTGACTGTGTGCAAGGCAAGCACTCTACCCATTTTATTATCTCCCTGTCCCCAATTCTTACTTTTCTATAAGCTATATTCTTGAGGGTATATTTATGGGGTTTATTTAAGGTATTTTAAGTAGTTTAATGCTTTCAAGTACTTTTAAATTTTATTAGAGCGAGAATGCTCTTGCATTTTCTTTACTAATGAAGTAAAATTTGTTTTATGTACATTCCCCAGTGTTCCTATAAATTAATTAATTTTCTACTGCACCCGTTGAAAACAGGAACTCTTCTAATTACTATGCTATCTTAGTTCATTGTTTCCTTGAGTTATGTCATGTAGTTCTTGCTTCACACATGTCAATAAAGTCTAAAAGAGAACCTTTCCAGATCTCTAGAGCTCACTGTATAGATATCTCATCTGTAGTACTTTCTCCTGAAAATAGTCACTTGCTTGCAACCCACACCCCACTTACAAATCAATGTTTGAAACTTGAAATTCTGATGGGTTTTCTCTGAATTTTCTATCCCTTACCCCTAACCAAGCAGTTATGTTATGATCTTCAGGCTCTGTATTGAAAACTGGGAAAATCAAGTGGCTTACTTTGTCTGTTATGCCTGTATCTAACAAATCACTGCTTTTGATTGTCAGATATCCAGTACCATGGAAATCATTATTACATTTGTTTTTTTTTTTATTTTTTGTGTTGTTCCATGATGAAGATGTAAATCTAGTCTCCATTACCCTATCAACTGTATTTTAAAGAATCTGTTATAGTGTTTCTTGTACACGGTATGATCTTCTGTATAAAAATTTTATTTTTTCCTAGGTACTAATCTTTTATTTATTTTTTTCCTCTTTTTCATTTTTATAAAGTTGTTCATGGTTATTTACTACATTCAATATTCCAACACCAATACCACCACCATTGCACCTTCCCACTACAATTATTTTCAATTTCCCCAACCACTACCCAAGCCTACCTCAATGGCAGACCCTATATATTACTTATATAAATAAGCAAAATTATTATTTTATCCTACTTGTTATGAATATTTCACTAAAAATGATCAAAGAAAGTTTTCTGAGAAGAAAGTGTGTGAAGATGGTTGTATCTGACCCTGGCTCCATTAAGTCTTTGTGTAAGAGATTACTAATATGTTGTTGCAGATTAAGGCTTGTGTGTTAATATTTTATTAATCTAGATTGGTTTCCTTCTACTTTACATCCAATCCAAAGTGGTATGCTACTCCTAGTATATCAGTGGTATAGAGTTTGAGATGTCATGTGTCTGCATTCCACAACTAGAAATTCTAACATTTTTAATACAGCTGGAGTTAAAATTTTAAGTAGATGGAGATTTGGGGATCTGGAAGGATCTCTGCAGTTTATTTATTTCTTTTGAGATTTAATCATAAGCCTCTGGATTATTGCCAGTTAATAAGCATTTATGGTGCCAGAATCAGTTCATGGACAATGACTGCCAAGCTCCCAGAAGAACAGGGTGATAGGGGAGGTAGCCCATCCCTGACTCCATGCTAGCCTGGAGATTTTAGTCACAAAACCGCAAACCCTAGTTTTCCAACAGATTAATTTCTGGATGAGACTCATCTTGAGCTTATGGAAATCACTTGTGAGCATGGCTGCAACTGTAGTGTAGAGGTTTTCTGATGATAGTTTCATTAGCTAATAAAATATACCTGATTCTTTCAGAAACACTGAAATTAATGTTACAGACTTTAGATATAGTGCTGACAGGCAACAGCTAGTCAATATCATTTTGGAGATAAAACTGATTTTGTAATGACTTTTGGAAATGTTCCCACTACAGATTTATTCTGGTCCACCTGAGGAAAATCTTGCACCACCAGTGCCTCCACCTCGAGTAACAGCAAGAAGGCACAAACCCATCACAATTTCAAAGCGTTTTCTACGAGAAAGGACAGTTTTCTATATGTCTGCCATGGATGAAAATGAAGGTCAGTAATGAGTTTCACCTTTAGTTTATAACAGTGATTGGAGGCAAGGCGTATATTTAAAAGCTGAAGTTAGGTATAGACATTCCCTGGTTCTTGTGCCAGGTAAAAGCAGGTATGTAAAATGTCATATACAAGGAAAAATTTTTGTCTTGGGGATGAATATATAAAGCATGCTGCTGTGATTACTTAGGCATGTGGAAGATCAAATGTGTTTTTACTTCTGTTCTCTAATATATTAAAGTGAGTGACCAGTGTGCTTTCTAAATGTTAAAGGATTTTTAATTCAACTTCACCTTACATAGAGGAGTGATGGGTTGAATAAAACTTTATACTGTGTTCAATATAAGTTTTGTCATTTTGGTGACATCATAGTTGAATAAAGCCTTAACAGTAACATGAATTTGTAGAACAACCCATATATGAAAAACCACTTGATGAAAGCTAAGGAATTCAAATGTAGATAGAAAGATGTATTGTAATTGGATATACCTAGGAGAGGAATAAAAGCAAGGAAAACTGAATTTCAGAGAGTGGAAAACACAGTTTAATATTATACACATTACTCTTCCAAGATCATGTAGGGAGTCCCTCCATGTGGGAGGAGGAAAATATAATTAGTATAGAACTTCAGTAATTTGGACTTTAGTGCCAGGCTTGCCAAGTAACCTGATCATAGAATTATTCTCTATCCAAGCTCTACACTGACATAGGCCCCATCATCAGCAGACTATCTGCCCACTAGTCCAAGTACAGAGGCCCATCACACTGCCTTTCATTGCTTGTGGCCTATTTTTCAGACTACACTATTGGACCCAACCTCTACTATAGTCTCCTATAGATATAGCCTCCAGGTCTGCCCCTTAGCTAAGATACATACAGACTATGCGCAAGTCTCTAAACTTAGTCCTGGATACTAATGTTGTAGGATTATCCATCTACTTAACTAGACATCAGACAAACCTACCCAAGGTTGTCTGCAATACGATCACCCATGAAAGACTTATACATTGGAAAATATAAACCACTGCTCAGAGATACAGAAGAAGACACCAGGAAATGAAAAGACATTTCCTTGTCATGGAAAGGAAGAGTCAATATTGTTAAAATGATGATTCTACCAAAAATACCATACATATTTTATACAATAGCCATTAAAATTTTTTCAAAGACTTTTTTTCAAAGACACAGAGTAAATTCTACTAAAAGTTGTATGGAACCATGAAACTCCCTGAATTTACAAATCAATTTAAGAAAAACAAGAAGATGAGAGGCATCTACACCAGCACTGTTTGCTATTCTTATTGATATGTGTCAGTCCCTGTGGTGTGAGATGATATCTGCTTGTTGTATTCCTTTGCATCTCCCTGGTTATTAGTGATGTACAGCATTTTTTTCACTTAACATGATTTCATCCAGTTCCATCCATGTTGAAGCAAATTGTGTGATTTTTTATCATTCCTTATAGCTATGTAGTATTCTATTGTGTATATATACCACATCTTCATGATTAACTTACCTGTTGTTGGGCATGTAGGTTGATAACAAATTTTAGCTGTTGTACTGTGTGCTGCAATGAATAATGAAATGCATATGTTCTTTTGAATTATTGTTTTTTTATGTTCCGGGGAAAGATACTTAAACATGGAATTGCGGAGCCATATGGGAGTTAAAATCTGGGTTTACTCAGTACCGTCTATATAATTTTTCATAGGGGTTGAACCTGAAATTATTCCACTAGCAGTGGATGAGTGTTCCTTTCTCACCACATCCCCACCAACAGAGATTGTTCCCAGATTTTTGATATATACTCTTCTCACTGATGTAAGATGATATCTCATTATTGTCTTGATTTGGAATTGCCTAATAATAAGTGATGTTGAGCAATTTTATGTGCATTTTGGTCATCAATTTGTCTTTCTCGGAGAAGTTTCTGCTTCCTTCCTTCCCCATTTTTGATAGGGCTTTTAGATTTTGTGTTGATCTTTGTGATTATTTTATATATTCTGAATGTCAACCCTTATCTGATGTGTTGAGTGTGAATACTTTCTCCCAATCCATTAATTGTGTTTAGTTTTAGCCTGTGTTTCTTTGGCCAAAATAAAACTTTTAAATTTGATGTAGTACCATTTGTTTAGTTTTGATTCTGTAGCCTTTGCCAATGGCGTCATATTATTGAAGAATACTTTGAGATGTAGGTTTTGGAGAGTTCTGCCTATATTTTCCCCAGAGAACTTTCTGGATTAAGGTCTAGTCTAAAGCTCTTTGATCAACTTTGAGTTAATTTTGTGTCATGTGTGAGATTAGGATCCATCTTTGAAATTTTTCAAGTGGTTATCCACTTTTCCCAGCACCGTTTTTAAAATGTTATCTTAATTCCATCAACGGCCAAGACTCAGAGTAATCCCATCAACGGCCAAGACTCAGAGACTATAAAATCCAGCTCCCGGACGAGAACAGTGCAGTCTCCTGCCCCCGCGCCTGGCTGTTCCTCGCTGGGGCCCCTTGGAGGGGAGCGGGTTGAGCTTTCCTCCCCGCCCCGACCAGGGCTCCGGCAGCCAAAGACCTCCAGGACCAGTCACCACCATGCTGAGACCACTCTCCGCACACATGAAGGTACTGGCAGAGGGACAAAGCCATGCGGGTTCCAGGGCCGAGATCTCCAAGCCTACTTGGATTGGAGTCGAGCATCCTCCACCCAGATCCTCCAAATTCCAGTAGGCGGGGGTCATACCCACCACCTGGCCCCCTGGCGCCGTGTAATCCCATCAACGGCCAAGACTCAGAGACTATAAAATCCAGCTCCCGGAACCATGTGGCCGCATTTGCGGCCGCGTGACATCTTATCAGGACATCTTTTTATGACATCTTATTATCTCATTCCTACTTTGGACAAACTTGCAGGCTATCGAATGTAGCCTGCCCACAGGGCAGAGTCTGGCAAACTCCCCGTGGCGTACCAAATATGCCAAATACCAGTAACAATGAAGGGTCTCATTCTCCTAAAGAGCCTTGAATATAATCTCAGGGCTAGGATGAAAGAGACGTTACTGGGGCCTGCTCGAGGCAATCGACGAATAACAGGATGATGAATGAATGAATGAATGATCTTAATTCTATTTCATGATTTCAATTCTGTTAAAAATTATCTGACCATATATATATATATATATATATATATATATATATATATGGGTGCCAAATATCATTATACAACACATTCTTATAAGGAAAGATAAAAATTATATTTTTATATAAATTGATGGAGAGAAAGCCTGAGACAAGCTCCAATATCTATTCGTGATAAAACCCTCAATAAAATAGAGGTGAAAGGAACCCGCTTCAAGTCTGCTATCCATAAAAGTTCCATAGCCTAAATTATTCTTAATGGTGAAAAACTGAAAACATTCCTGATAACTAATATGCGCATTCTTCAAAAAAACTAGAAATTGAGCTTCTATATGACCCATATATACCAATTCTTGGAATATACCCCAAGGGACCAAAAGCACACAGTAGAACCTCTCTGCACTTCAAAGTTTATTGCAGCACTATTCACAACAGCCAGAATCTGAGTGGCAAAAAACAGATGACTAGTTAATGAAACTGTGGTACATCTACACAATGAAATATTATGAAGTTGTTAGGGAAAATAAAGTTATGAAATCTGCTTATAAATGTATGGACATGAAGAGTATTATGCAGAGTGAAATGGATCAGAAGGAAAGAGACAGACATAGAATGACTACATTCATTTTTGGGATATAAAAATATAGTATGAGACTAATATCCAAAGACAGTAGAAACAATGGCCAGGAGAACTGGTTACACGATTGGAAGCCTGCCTCAAGTGCTGGGGAAGAAGGCAGTTGAAGGCACTATAACAAAGACAGTTGTAAATGATAACATTGAATAAGAACTGCATGCTGAAAGTAGGCAAATAAACACAATAACCTCTTATTATCTGTATTGCTAATCATATTTCCCAAACAGGAGAGAGAGAGAGGGAGAGAGAGACAGAGAGAGAAGGAAAGTACCTGCCATACAGACAGGCTGTGGGAGGTAGCAGAATGGAAACTGGGGACACTGGTTGTGGGGAATGCTTATGGAGGGATGGTTTTTGAACATTGTATGACTGAAACATTGTATGACCGGGTTTTGAACATTGTATGACTGAAACATTGTACGACCAGACCATGAACAGCTCTGTACTGTGAATTTCACAGTGAAAAATAAATAAATAATATGTGTGTATAAAGCAACAACAACAAAACATTCCCAATAAGATCAGGCAAAAGACAAGGACACTGCCCCCTCTCTTATTCAACATTGTATTAGAAGTCTTTGTAACAGCAATGAGGCAACAAAAGGAAATCAAAGGGATAAAAATTGGTATCATGGAAGTCATATTATCTCTGTTTACAGATAGTGTGATGATGAACATTGAAGACCCTAATGAGTCCACACAAAAGATACTAGAAACAATAAACCAATACGACAAGTTGACTGACTACAAAGTCAATACACAAAAACTGGTTGCATACCTATATACAAATAGTGAATCAGAGAGAAGAGATCAAAGTGCCTGTGCCATTTAAAATGGTGGTCGGAACATCAAGTACTTAGGAATCAACAAAACAGATGAGAAACCTATACCATAAACTTCAAAACACTTAAGAAAAAAATGAAGAAGACCTTAGGCAATGAGAAAAAAAACATTCTGTACTTGTGTACTGGATAATCAATGTTACCATAATAACCATAATAACCATTTCACCTAAGCTACTATACAGATTCAATAAATCCTTGTTTAAATTCAGACAATATTTTTCAAGCACAGAGGCAGGGTGGGATGGGAGGGTAGGGGGTGGGAGGAATACTGGGGCCCGTAGTGGTGTAAAATGATCACTGGTGGAGGGATGGGTACTTGATCATCGTATAACTGAAACACAAGCACAAAAATTTTTAAGTCTACAACTGTACCTCATAGTGTTTCACTATTA